TGAGCGTGATGCCATGGCACTCTACCCAGGGGGATAGCTTGAGGCTCCATCTCAAAAAAAAAAAAAAAAGACTCACCCTTGGGTTGGTTGGTGCAACACTGGAGGCAAGAAAGACCAGCCTGTAAGAAAGGTCTCTAACACCAAGAGCCCGGAGTCCTCGAATGCCTTCTGTTTCATATCCATCAACACCACTGACACGGGAATTAGTTTCTGCACGTGCTCCTGAAAGAGTGAATGATATGCTGTTTCACAGCTCAAATATTAAGGTGCTGAGAACCAAAATTCCTTAAGCTTTCAAAAAACCTTCAGAATAGCACTTTTTGTAGCAAAATTAATTTGTTTTTATCCTCATTATACTTCCTTTCTGACTGGTAGATAAAAAAGAAAACAAGGGAGATATTGATACACTAGATACTCTGCAGTTCTGCTGAGAATTTGTTAAATCTGACCTAAAGATTACTGACCTGGTATGCTAAGCTTGGAGACATCAGGCACAACAATCAACGTCCCGGTAAAATCACACTTGTCACCAGCTTGAGCCGACTCCACGGCTTCTGCCCTCAAGATTACTTCCAAACTGCGGGGAATACTTCCTCGAGGAAGCTCAGCTTGAGTCTCTTGAATACGAACCTGTACCAAAGACAAATTGCCAAATATGAGGAGAGATCCTTTTTAAGTGCCATACAATTTAAATGATATTTATTTTTTGAGACAGAGCCTCAAGCTGTTGCCCTGGGTAGAATGCTGTGGCATCACAGCTCACAGCAACCTCCAACTCCTGGGCTCAAGCAATTCTCCTGCCTCTGCCTCCCAAGTAGCTTGGACTACAGGTGCCTGCCACAACGCCCGGCTATTTTTTGGTTGCAGCTGTCATTGTTGTTTGGCAGGCTTGAGCTGGATTCGAACCTGCCAGCTCAGGTGTATGTGGCTGGTGCCTTAACCACTTGAACCACAGGCTCTGAGCCCACACAATTTAAATTAAATGTCACAAATATTGATAGTCTAAACTATTTTAATCCATTAACAAACATTTAGCACATACGAACATTCATTCTAAAACTTATCTACCCTAAAACTCCTAGTCAAAAAGTTTAATTTGGTAAGAGATTACACTATCAAAAAACTTCACTTTTGGCTCAGTGCCCATAGCACAGTGGTTACAGTGCCTACCACATATACCAAGGCTGGTGGGTTTGAACCCAGCCCGGGCCAGCTAAATAACAATGACAACTGCAACAAAAAATAGCCTAGTGTTGTGGCAGGCGCCTGCAGTCCTAACTACTTGAAAGGCTGAGGCAAGAGAATCACTTAAGCCCAGGAGTTTGAGGTTGCTATAAGCTGTGATGCCATAGCACTCTACTGAAGGCAACATAGTGAGACTCTGTCTCAAAACAAACAAACAGAAAAACCCTTTTATTTTCATTAAGAAATATTGGGTGTAAGAAAAAAAAAAAGAAATATTGGGTGTTTTCCCCAGTTAAATGACTCTCTACAAATATTGTTTTGTGTTCCATCTTCTGAATTTTATTTGAAAGACTCTGTAAACATCAAGAAACTTTATACCTAAAAATTTTAGCACTCATCTCTAAGAATAGATAGTCTCCTGTGTAACTGCCATACCGTTATCACAACCAAGAAAATTTAATTCTAGGCTCGGCACCTGTGGCTCAAGTGGCTAAGGCGCCAGCCACATACACCTGAGCTGGCGGGTTCAAATCCAGCCCGGGCATGCCAGACAACAATGACGGCTGCAACTGAAAAATAGCCAGGTCTTGTGGCAGGCCCCTGTAGTCCCAGCTACTTGGGAGGCAGAGGCAGGAGAATTGCTTGAGCCCAGGAGTTGGAGGTTGCTGTGAGCTATGATGCCATGGCACTCTACCCAGGGTGACAGCTTGACGCTGTCTCAAAAAAACAAAAAACAAAAATTTAATTCCATAAAATTATGCCTTTTATCATTGAGTCTATCTTTGCATGTCTCATTCATCAAAATTATTCTTTATTAAGTTGTTTTTTCTCCCAAACCAAGACATGTTGTTTTAAAAATACAAAGCATCTTTCATTCATGGCTGTTGGTAGAATATGTGCTTCTTTTTTTAGATATGATGTTCTCTTGCTCCAGGCTAGAGTGCTTTGGCATCGGCCTAGTACATGGTAACCTCAAACTCTTGTGGTCAAGGGAGTCTCCTGTTTCAGCCTTCTGAGTACCTGGGACTACAAGTGCCTCCCATCATGCCTAGCTAATTTTGTTTCTATTTTTTTTTTTTTTGAGACAGAGTCTAATTACCCTTGGTAGAGTGCTGTGGCATCACAGCTCACAGCAACCTCAAACTCTTGAGCTTAAACAATTCTCTTGCCTCAGTCTCCCAAGTAGCTAGGACTACAGGCGCCTGCCACAATACCCAGCTATTTTTTGTTGCCCTTGTCATTGTTGTTTAGCTGGCCCAGGATGGGCCTGAATCTGCCAGCCTCAGTGTATGTGGCTGGCGCTATAACCACTGTGCTACAGGTGCCATGCCTTTTTTTATTTTTAATAGAGATGGGTTTCACTCTTACTCAGGCTGATTTCAAACTCCTGAGCTCAAGAGATTCTCCTGCCTGGGCCTCCCAGAGTACTAGGTGTGAGCCACTGTACCTGGCCAGAATATATGCTGCTGATAAGTCATCAGGTTAATATAAGAAAGCTAAATAAGGATTAGAAACTAAATCTATTATTATTTACTATACTTAAATTGGTGCAAATTTTCTTTCCTCTTTGCATACCCTATAATGTTATTACATTCTGATTCCACCCATCAACTCACCCAGGTAACTACAAGTGCTTATTAGCTTCTTTTAAATACTATACACCACTGTACTACTATGTTTCCTTAAAAAAAGAAACCTACCTCACCACCAAATACATTCCCATGGCTTATTAAGACAGGCTCCAATTTCTCAGCCTTAGGTTTAAGGATACACGTACCTTGAGGTTTCATGTCAAAATCATCTCTCAAATTATCTCCAATTTGGTTTCTTTACTTCAGTCATAATCATCTTCACTGCTTTCATCCTAGATTGTCCTTTTATTCATGCCTTCCTCCTTCCTATCCATCATGTTGAAATCTTACACTAAGAAGTTGCTACTTCTTCAAAGTTTTCTTAACTCCAGTTTATAATAATGTAATTATTGTTTGTTCTTTGACAAAAATACCTTGTCAGCCTGAAGGACCTTCCAATCCATGTTATTAAAGGTTAAATCACATGTATATACTGACAATTCAAAGTTACATCAAAAGTTTTGAGGTCAGGCCAGGCATAGTGGCTCACGTCTGTAATCCCAACACTCTGGGAGGCTGAGGTGGGTGGATTGCCTGAGTTCACAACCAGTCTGAGCAACAGTGAACAGTCTCTAAAAAAGTAGTCAGGCACTGTGGCTGGTACCTGTAGTCTAAGCTTCTTGGAAATCCGAGGGAGGCAAGAGAATTGCTTGAGCCCAGGAGTTTGAGGTTGGTATGAGGACACTGCTCTACTGAGGGTGACCAAATGATGGGGGGTGGTGGTAAAAGCCAGCCGGAGCTAGAGCAAGACCAGTCTTTAAAAATAGCCAGGTGTGGGGCAGCGCTTGTGGCTCAGTGAGTAGGGCACTGGCCCCATATACTGATGGTGGTGGGTTCAAACCCGGCCTCGGCCAAACTGCAACAAAAATATAGCTCGGTGTTGTGGCAGGCGCCTGTAGTCCCAGCTACTTGGGAGGCTGAGGCAAGAGAATCGTGTAAACTCAGGAGTTGGAGGTTGCTGTGAGCTATGACGCCATGGCACTCTACCAAGGGCTATAAAGTGAGACTCTTGTCTCAACAAAAAACAAAACACAGCCAGGTGCGGCTCAGTACCTGTAGCTCAGTGTCTAGGGCGCCAGACACACACACTGGAACTGGCAGGTTTGAACCCAGCTAGGGCCTGCTAAACAACGACAATTACAACCAAAAAGGAGCCAGGTATTGTGGTGTACTTCTGTAGTCCCAGCTACTTGGGAGGCTGAGTCAAGAGAATCACTTAGGGTGGCACCTGTGGCTCAAAGGAGAAGGGTGCTGGCCCCATATGCTGGAGGTGGTAGGTTCAAACCC